CAATCAGTCCTAGGCTGTTTCAAAAAGTCCATACAGAAAGTCAACAATGGAACCTCTGCATCCTGTTAAGCTGTCTGACAGACACATTCCCTAGTAGCACTACTGGCACGCTCCTAGTACCATCAGCACAGGAAGGGGTCGCAACAGAAGTTGCTCTACAGTTCCTGGTGAATGAAATAATAGAGCAGGCTCTTGAAGACCCCCAAATGAAAGAGAAGCTAAAAAGCATCGCAACACAAATAGAAGGGTATAGAAAATTGGCATTCTATACCGATGGTTCACTTTTAAGCCCAACTGATAATCTGGAAAGAAGAAAAATGAGGATCGGCTGGGTAGCTGTGATTTAAAACAAAAGCAAAAAACACAATCTTTTTATAGCAGAATTCCAAGGTATAGTAAGAGACTGGCCATCTTCAACAAGAGCGGAACTAGAAGCAATTTGGTCAGCTCTACTAGCAGCTCCTATCAAGGCCTTAGTAAACGTATATACAGACAGCTTAGCTGCAATCTAGGCAATATGCGCAAGCAAAATTAATAATAAGCAAAGCGACATAGTTAAGAGGAAAAACCTATGCCTTTTAGAACAAATCAGAAGAACAATCGAGTTGAAGGAGCTAAAGGTGTATTATTATAAAGTTAAAGCACATAGTGGAGTACTAGGTAATGAGAAGGCTGACAAGCTTGCAAAAGAAGGAGCATGCAGCTCGGTACTTTTAGCTCCCAAATGGCTCTGGAACAAGCATGCCCGAACTGAGCTTAGATAGCGAGAAATAAAAGTAGATGACGCAACAAGAAGTTTTATCTCAAGATTAACTGAAATCAGTATCGACACGGAGTAGAAAAGCTTAAAAAGTGTAAACAAATGGGTGGTACCAGAAACTAGCGACAAGTCAATTGAATGGAAAGAAGTATGAAAGGATATAAGTAAAGTTAAAGGCAGCAGGTGTAGAAGTACAGAGAGCCACAAAGAATGAGTATTCAAAATAAAGTGCCTAAGTGATTTTCTACCGACAATGCAAGTTCTATATTAGAGAAAAGCAAGTCTTTACCTGGATGACACATGCAAGATATGTTATCTAGAGACCGAGACGCAAAAACATTTTGCCAAATGCTCTGAGTACCAACAGTTGTGGAAGATTATAGAAAGAGAAGGAAGCGAGGCCATCGTTAAGAAAGTGATAAAGAAGAAAATAAAGCTCACAACAACAGAAATACAAGAGATTACAGAAATAATCTTTGGGGAGGACCTACAAGAAAGAATCGCGACTAGAATAGAGTTAATAAAAGGGCTTATAACAAAAGAGAGAGCAGAAAAGATTAGTTCGTTACTAAGCGAAAGAAAGAATACCTCCAAACTTATCCAGGCATTCATTAACAAGATCAAGACACAATTCCGAAGACATATATGGAACTTTCGATGCGAAATTGGGAAAGAATAATGGAGATATCCAAGAAAGAAAAACAAGGTAAAAAGAGTAAAAGAAAAGAGGACGAAAGAAATGACCTCGACAAGAAGAACACCGACCCACAAGCCGAGGAAAGAAGTGAAAAGGTGAAAAAAGCAAGAACCGGCACAAAAAAAGTGAGACTTGAAGTTCTTAAAGAAAAGAAAAAAATAATTGAAGAATGGATTGTTTGGGGTAACAAACCAGCATGGTCTTCGCTGGTTAAAATCAAATCTAATTTTTAAGCATGCTTAATATGGCAGACAACAGCCAACTGTCAACCAAGGGGGTATCGTCATGGTACAAAATTCTTAGAAAGTTAAGGATCCTAAGGGAGGTGGATTGTTGTTTTGGCAGGTCGCACTGGGCATAATGCTTGGTGAGTTTTATTAGACTAGAACATTATACTATAGAAATTATATACAAATGTATATTAGTTACATAGTAGTTCAAATAAATAAAAGCAGGACTGCTTAAAAAAAAAAAAAAAAAAAATTTTAAAGCAAGAAGCTACTTACTAGTATTTAAAGTACATAGTTTCAAATAAAAATTTGTAACAGCAGTTGCTGGACGGTTTGTGAAATAAAATTCGTAATCTTCAATAATAGTTTTAATGTTAGGCAAGCTTATTGTTTCAGCTTGTCCATCACCATCATTCAAACCCCTCTGATTTGTTTTCAATCTATATAGCTTAACATCTATACCACCATCAAATCTCTTGACAAAATTACCAATCTTTAGATCCTGATGCTCACCACCATGTAGAGCAAGTAGTATTGAATTATAAAAAAAAATGCAATGTAATAACCCTTCAGGGGATGTATGTTGCATTGTAGGATGTTCCAGAATCTGTTCTACTTCATTAATTATTAAGACATCGGCACCATTACATTCACCTAATCCTGCTGCTAATAGAGTCTTGATTTTTCCATTAATGATTGTGTTTAAATCATAAAATATTTTTCCATTCAAAATATCTACTGGTTTTTCTAAAACTGATTTTTCATTAAGGTGGCGCCAGATGGCAGCCATACAATTTTTAATAGAAGATGCCTGGTATTCTTCTCCATCTTTACATTTCATAGCACAAACAAACTTACATAACTGGTCCTCTAAGACCAACTTTGAGCCAATGTCTTTTCCCCTCATAATCTACATCTGCACGGAATTCCTCTAAAACCTTTACCCAAACTTGGGTTGTCTTGTGTGTAGATTTAACCTTGGAACTTTCGCAGATTGCCTTTAAATCTTTTGCCGAAGGTTCAACATACTTAAAAGTCTACAAATATATATTGTTTAATTTAAAAGTATATAGTTTAATTTAAAAGTATATAGTTTTTT